TATTACTCTAACTATATTGCTATTTTTTGAACCATTTTATTATCATTAAACTTTTAAAATTAAAAAAAAAAAAAACACAAGTGATTAGCGTTTTTCACACCAGGAACAGAAATTTTCTTTTGTGCAAGAAGGGTGTTCAAATCTGCTGCCATCCAAGGCAGTGCTGGGAAGCAAAAGCTTGTTTATCTTCTCCTCCTTCCTTCCTTCCATCAGATGGTAACAGGACAGATCCAGACCTGAGCTGTTTCCTGGGTCAGTAAAAGTGGACTCTAACGCTGTCCCAGTATCAGTTACTGGTGGAGCAGGAAATGTGCCCAGCACCTCCAGCTGGCAGCACTCAGTGCAAAAACCTCAAGCCTGGATACCTTGCCAATGAAAGAGTCTGATGTCTTTACAAACAATTTGATGGGTGAAGGTGTGGATGCTAACATCTTTGAAAAGGGGCTCAATGTCTCTGCTAACTGTGGGCAGCAGGTTCCTTGCAGAGCCCTGACAGCTCAGCCACTGAACCAAACAAGTGGGGTCTGCACAAGCCTGAGTTTCTGAACGTTGGGGTAAAATAGTAGGTTCAAGGGGGGAATATGTGGTAGGCATTTAGTGAAGGCTGTACCTTTCTAGTGCCTCAGCCAATGGAGAAAGGGAGAAATATGTAGTCGGGAGTTCAGAGTAAAAGGAGGCTGCACCCTCCAAAACCTCGGGAGAGAAGGGTTTGCGGGCTTGTGCTCTGGTGGACTCTCTTCCTTTATGCAAGTAAAGTTGCAGGACTCCTCTGTCTCCTTTTTGGACATAAATCTCTGGTGTTAATGGATTTTTCTGGCACCAGCTTGGGCACACTTCTGCCAAAGCCAGGCCGAGTGACCTCAATGGCTTTCTCTGCACTTAGCAGCCAGCAGAGCGGCTGCAGGCCAGCATGGATAATCCTACAGGGGTGCTTCAGCTTTGCAGAGGGCAGCAGGAAAATGCAGGTCAAGAAAATTTGCCTGCCCTAAGTAAATTGCATTATTGCAATGCAAATATTGGCCCATTTCCTGAAAAGACCATAGTGACCTCATTTGATCCTTTGAAAGGAATATAAAATTTCTTTGTTTGGGGCTTTTTTCCTAAATTGAACATTATGCCGGAATGGGATTTTTTTAGTGATGAAATGAAAGGTCAGACTGTGATAAGGATGTAACCATGGCAATATGGGAATGGCTGTTGGTACACGTTTGCAGGAGCGATTTGCGTAACCAATAAGAACAACTTTCTGTACTCATAGAACTTCCCTGTGATCACTGAGAAAGTCAATATCTAAAGCAGACCAAAAAAAAAAAGCAAGCTATAAAAGAAATGCCTGAGGGTGTGCTTCCTTGGAGCTTTCCCCAAGGTAGCCCTTTCTGAGAACTCTTAAGCCACTGTTTATTTTGCAATGGTCTAGCAGAAAAAGCAGCCATCAGCTGCTTTGGCTGGCACCAATGAAGAGCTTCAGCAACATGTTTTGATTTCTGCCTGAGCAAGTCCAGGATCTCCTGCAATAATCCTACTGCAACAAATCATTACAGCGTTTATTTTGGATGGGGCTAGATGGACTCCAGTTGTTCTCAGACTAGTCCAACAGGCAAGCTTTTCTTGCAGTAAAAAAGATTTTTAAAAGCATTAAAAAAATTCGAAGTGTCATGAAAAGCCTGTAAATCAGACCTTCCCCAAAACTGGTTTGCAAATTTTCATTTTCCACTCCCCATTGCAGATCAGCATGTCCTAGTAACCTGACTGAGCCTTTGCTGACAGTGAAATAATCTTTTCCATACTTCCTACAGTCATCTCACTCTGGTCTACAACTGATGGCATCAGGTACAGGTGAAACTGTTGGTCCTGAGTGGTACAACATCAGCATCCCAATTAGCCTCCCTTACTCCTGTCTTCTTCCAAAATCTCAGTCTCAAACATTGCACTAGCTTGGGAAAATAATTACATCAATACAGTTTGCTCTGAAGGTCTTACTTGACACCATATCACATGATTTGTTCTCTGCAGCAAGCTCTGCTTACAAAAACAAGAAAACAACTAATGTAACCTTCCATGAATATTGGCTTCTTTTTTTTTTTTTTTTTACTAATTATTTCTTTAACATTTAGTCAGAGGGTAAACTACCCAGCACAATCAGTTTTTTCTTTTTTCCCAGGGGAACTGCATAATAAAAATACAGGCAGTAAAGAACAGCAGTGGCTGAAAAAAATCCGCTCCCTAGAAATGAGATTTCTTTTCAGCAATCATCAGCACCCACAGACCTTGTCACAAAGGAGCTGCCAGTGGTGGCACCAGAGGTGAGAGTCAGGACTTACCTCCACTGCCAAGTGAGCACCTGAGTCATCCCTGCCTTCCTGGAGAGAGAAGTGCACTGCAAGAAACCCCTGCCTGCTTGAGGTTAGAAGCACAGTTGTTGCTGCTGATCAGAAATAAATTAAACAGTCTAGCTGTGCTGTGGGATAACCTGTGCCCTCTAGGAATAGTGTGATGCTGGTTAGGGAACACTGACCAAATGTCCTCCTTATTATTAAAGTTCCTCAAATGCATTTTCTTTCCAGGGAGGAAGAAAAGCAGACTGGACAAGTTATTAAGCCTAGCAATAAAATGTGTCACAAGCCCAAACACTAACAGCCTTTGAACTGAGATGCTGTGTGAAACCTGCAAAGAGAAATGTGATTTACTGTTCCCAATGCCATGGTGCTGCAAGGTGTCATGACGACACTGATGATTTCATCAAACAATTTTTGATCTGAAGCATCACTTCAAGCATCCCTGGGAGACAGTGCTCTACAGATTGAGTTCCCCTTTCCAGAGAATGACTGAAGAGTAATCAAAATGCTGCAGAAGCGCCTGAAGGTGACAGTAAAATTCAAATACCACAGTCATTTTAAAAATAAAGCTCTTAAAGGAAATACAGTAATCTGGAGCAAAATTACTTTTTTTCAGCCATCTTCATTATTTGCAATGACATGAGTGATAGTAATCTTCAGAGCAAACTGAAGCCTACAGAGAACCTTCTGGCTTTGGAATCAAATTCAGGAATGCTGTGTAATCACACAAGCTGTGGACTTGGAGGAGACTACTTAATGTTCTCAGTGCATGCAGACATTTCAACTCTTATGAGATTCTCACATTCTGAGCAGATGAACTAAGTCAGAGAAAAATCACACTGACCATGGGACTTTCTGTTCCCCAAAAGCTGGGGGACCTCTGTATTTCCCATGGTGACAGGCTGCTTTGGACAATTTTGTCAAGCTTCTGAGCCTTTGAGGCCTTCTCTACCCTTTTGAAGCTTCAGTGGGGCAGTGACAAGATGAGAAATCATGATTTCATCAAACAAGGCTAGACTTTCGGCAGTAGCCTTCAAGTGATATTTTTTTTTTTTTTTTTAGCATGAGGGCCTGAAGAAAATTCAGTTGTTCAATTGTGAGCAGAAGATAACACAAATTCAAGTCCCCTGGAGCCAGCTAATGATCTCTGGGTGAGTCATTCTCACCCCTGTGGGACAGAGCCTCTTCATTCCACACAGGATGTACATTCTGTCTAATGCCTGCAGGGTTGTTCAGAACCAGCTGATGAATTATTCTGAGAAAATCAAGTTGCCTTCCAATATTTAGTGGAGAAAATGCCATGCAGAGCCTTGGAAGCTGCACTGTTATATTTTAACTTCTTTTTTGCTTGGCAGCAAGCTGGACAATTTGATTTATAAAAGAAAATCAGTAATTATGCCTAACCAGTGCCAATACTTAGCCTTTGTGACATATCTGCTTAAGTCCTTTCTACAAAGTTCAGGATATTATTGTTTTGTTTTCTCAAAAGTTGTTTAATAGAGCTGTAAATATTGATTTAGAGCATGGTCAGATAGGGTTAGTTCATTGTGAAGCACAGGCAGAAGGAAATCCAGCAGACTTCTAAGGGGCTTCTCCTGGGCTTCTTTCTAGCCCAGGAAGGAGCTGGACTGTTAGACATCTGCCTATTTTACCCATACACAAACCACATCACTTTCTGGAAGGGGTAATAATTGCTAGCTTTGGATCACAGAGCCTCCTCCCAGCTATAGAAATAATTATCTGATTAATAGGCAGGATGGCTTCACATTTCCCATTTACCTGATGAGGTTTCTAGTGTTTTCTTTGAAGGCCCTAGAATCTAATCAGAAAAAAAGAAATAAAACTACCAACCCCAAAACTCCAATGCCAAAGAAACTTTAGACAATAATGATTTTCTGGGATTGTTCCTTCCGAGCTGTGGGAATGTTTAAATTACAGTGCTAACTGGGGATATTGCCTGCAGCTTTCATAGAGGTACCATAAGAGGAACATGACCTTGTGGTTCTGGTTGTAAAACAAAGAACTCACCTGAAAGTTCAACCCAGTGTTGAACTGCATTGCTTTGTGACACGAGGCTTGTGTTTGCTGTTCTCTGCAGCATCTGCAGCCTCCTTCTGTGAAGCATCTCCTACACCAAAATAGCTGAGAGAGAATCCCAGCTTTGTGCAAAAGTGAGATTAAAAAAATGAAACATTTTCTTACCATGACTCTGCATTTTTTGAAGCAGGTTCCTCAAATTTTCCTGGCTCACACCTGGGCTAAATGCCTGAGGGTAGGTGACAGAACCTTGCAGAGTGCTCACAAGGGTTCTGCAGTGCTCCCACTGAAGACACCTCTGATTCCAGCCATAACTGAATGCAATGTCTCCCTTCTATCCTGTCTCAGAAGTTATCCTACCCTGTCCCCCAGACAATCTCTCAGCAATCAAGTGCTTTATTAAAATAATATCTGCACTACCCTCAAGAAGCTGCCTTTGGATTCCTCTGCTTTAGGGGTTAACTTGCCCTTTCATTTCCTCACAGACCTCTTCCAAAGCCAAGGAGAATTCTCTGTGCTAGAGCAGTACAACTTGACTCCCAGTGCTAGTACTTTAATTCTATGCCCCAAGAAAATGTCTCTGGATGCCAATACTCTTGTGCAAAATAAATTTCTGTACCCTGCATGTACTTTGCATGTACATGTATGTTTATTAATGACACAGTAAGTCATACACTTACACATTTTCCTACATTAAAAGGCAGGTTCTAAGGAAAAAAATAATCATTTTTAGATTAGTATCTGTATTACCAGCTGTCAAAAATGTTACTCTTGGCTCCAATCAATTTAGGCATTATACACTTTATATATATTACATCCATATATACACATATGTGTATATGTGGATGGCATCATTCCTTATCATTCTATGTTACTTTATTAGTAACATAGAATGATAAGGAATGCTGCCATCCACATATACACATACATACAGTATTGCAATCAGAGAATATTCATTAAGAACTTTTAATTTTCTCTTGAAATAAAGAATTGGACATTAACAAAACCAAAATATTACAGTAAAACACATTTGTTATCTTAATGAGTAGAACAAAGGCATAAGCAGTAAACAACATGGGTCTTACACAGAAATACATTTCTCTTAGGAAATTTTTTTGCTTAATTCATTCCAGTTCCTGCATTAACATCACTTCTTCCTTCTTCACAGAATTCAGACCGAATGGTGGGGCTAGGACAATCACACATTATTGTGTACAATGACAGCTTGTGCTCCATGAAACATCAATAGCCTGTAACACTTGGGATTGTACATATATGTATTGAAAGACAGCAACTGTAAAGGTCACACACTCCCATTCACACAGAAAAACTAGTGAGTTCACAAAATGGAAAAGGAAAACAATTACATCTCAACCAAATTTCACTTGGTTGTAGATGCACAAGGTAGTACAAATATTTCTCAAAAAACTTTTTTTCCATTAGGCAATATAGGTTGGCAGCTCGAATTACACATTCCACTGATTGTCTCTGAAACAACAGACTGCCTTGAACAAAAGAGATAACCAAGAGGCTGAAGTTAGAAAAGTCCTATTGATGCCTTAAGTTTTAGCTTTCATATTTTCCAGATTCTATACTGCATTAGTGTATAACTGTGAAGTTCATACGAAGTGTCAGCAAATTCTCTTCACAGTTGACTTTGACAAAACAATCCTTTTCCAGCCTGAGAACCAAGGACACCATTGCAGTTTTGGGCTCAAAACAGATAACTGAGGAGAGCAATCTGGGAGGATGGGATTTCATAACCTGAAGCTGTAACTGGACAATTAACCCCAATATGTAAATGGACCAAAACTTACAAAAGTGTGAAAATGTGTGACCCATCACCCATCTTGGGTGTAGCCCTGGCTGGGCTCTTGTACTGCCCAACGCGTTTCCTTTGAAGGCCTTTTTAACAAATACCTACTTTATTCCTTTTACACTGTCTAGCCTCTGTTCTAGGTACCCTCTCAAGGCATCACTATTAATCTGAAATTATTCCTATGTATTGTTGCTACTTCCTCCCTTGTTCTTTCTTCCTCACAAACCTTGGGCATTTAGCAACAGAAAGAGATGTTACTGGGGGGCAGTCCCCTTGTTTATGCTCCCTACTGTGTGCCTTGTGTGTGTTCTCTTGCATCCTCCAGAGCTCTCCTGAAACACTCAGAAAAAAAGCAAATTGAAAAGCAGAAGCTGATGCATGGGACTGGGATGCCTGTTCTCACTTGGTTTCTTGCACCATCCTCTCCTAGCTGATGTGCAATTCCATTCATGATACTTTTTTTAAGCAGCTAGGATTTTTAGTCCCCACCTCTACTCTTGCTGGGGGACTGAGGCAGGATCTGAAGGCTAAGAGTCAGAACCCCTCTATTTGCAATTCCAGATGCATGTGGAATTTCCAGGCTAAGAAGGTTGCATGGAAAACTCATAGCAACCTTCCATTATCTGAAGAGAGACTACAGGGAAGTAGGAGGGACTCGGTCAGGAATTGTAGTGATAGGACAAGAGGAAATCGGTACAAACAGAAAGAGAGGGAGTTTAATTTAGGTATCAGGAATAGATTTGTTACTGTGAGGATGGTAAGGCACTGGAACAGGCTGCCCAGGCAGGTTGTGGACACCCCAACCCGGCAGTGTCCAAGGCCAGGCTGGATAGAGCCTGGAGCAGCCTGGTCTAGTGGGAGGTGTCCCTGCCCATGGCAGGAGGGTTGGGACCAGATGGTCTTTAAGGTCCCTTCACACCTCTTAACATTCTGTGATTCTATGTTTGATTGAGTGGATGTTTTCTGCTAAAACCCAGAAATTAAAAATTAAAAGCAAAAATCACAAAGCCTCAACTACTCCAAATTTATTTCTGCCATGAGCTAGAACCTCAATTTCTTGACAGATGATAAGACTATTGCATAAAAAATACTGATTTGTTCTTTATTTGCTCTTTATTCTGCTGCTGAGCCTTATATTTAAATACTTTATCATTGCCTGAAAATAGCTCATAGATTTCCAACTTCCAAGCTCCTTTTAGAAGGGAAATATTAAATCCAGGATGTAATTATGCCTTCATTATTAGGAATATTTTCTTTTCAGGGACCCAGCAGGGTTTCCAGTCAGCCAAAATCTTCTTTCAACCTTTTCAGAAGGTAGCCAAGTATCTTTGGCAGAAGATAAAAAAACACAAGGAGCCAGAACTAGGATATTTTTTCAATAATCAGTTGAATATAACTGAAGAAACTGGAAACTAGCAGTGAAGAAAGAAATTGAAAAAATAAATTTTAAGAATAGAACAAAAACCCTCAATCCTTTATTTTGAACAGTGTATACTGAACAGGTCAGCAAACATCCTGGATACTGGCAAAGACTTTCTACTGGACATTTGAAAACAATTCCCCAAAACTACAAAAATATTACCTTGTTAAGATTTTGCAACATCAAAAGTCAAAGCAACCATGCATGGGCCATGAACATAAATATTTTCTGTATCTGTATCTTGATGAAAAACATATATATATTTTGGCACATGTTATTATCATTTTTCCAAGGGGAAAAGCCACCCACATATGCCACAAGGCAGAAACTTTCACTTTTCTCACTCAGGCTGAAAACCTGTACATCCCTTGATGGGGCAGCTTCAATGTAAATGAATAATGAAAGCATCTCTTTCATGATATAATGTAAGCATATCTACTTTCATTTCATTTATGTCTTTTATGACACAATGAAAACATCTCTCCTTTCACTCCTATACCCTTGCCTGCCATTTGAATAGCCAAGAGTGACTTTTCCTACATTCAGTTGTTTCAGCAGTGGAATTTCTGGAGTTCACCTCCTCAGCAGCAGCAAGGCCTGGCCATTTTCTCCCTAGCACTGGGCCTGGCAAAGAGACATGAACCCTTTTTGGCAAGGCAAATGTTCCAAGCATGCTTAGTTTATTCTGATAGGTCTTCCCCTGTCCAAAGCATTTATCATACAAAATGTTTAAATCAAGATCATCATATTTAGAGGCTAATCTTAGAAAGATAAGCCTTCAGGGCCCTCTTTTTACAAAAGAATTTTCCTGAGTCTACAGTGAAATAAGAAAAAGAAAAGCTTTTAATTATATTTATTGTACTTAGAGACTATCTTGGAGTTTGTTGTTGTTTAACCCCAGCCATCCACCAAGCCCCAGGCAGCCCCTTGCTCACTCCCTTCCCCAGCAGTGGGATTGAGGATGGAACCAGAAGGGTAAAAGCTGGAAAACTCATGGGATAAGATAAAGACAGCTTCATGGGGGAAGCAGAAGCCACACACACAAGCAAAGAAAAACAAGGAATTAATTCACTGCTTCCCATGGGCAGGCAGGTGCTCAGCCATCCCCAGCAAGTGCAATGGCTGCTTGGGAAGAAAATACCATCACTCCAAACATCCCTCCCTTCCCCCTTCTGCCCCCAGACATCACTGAACATGATGTCCCATGGTCTGGAATATCCCTTTGGTCAGCTGGGGTCAGCTGTCCTGGCTGTGTCTCCTCCCAACATCCCAGGCACTCCCAACTTCCTCACTTTTTCTGACGTATGAAAAGCAGAAAAGGTCTTGGCTCTGTGTAAGCCCTGCTCAGCAAGGACAAAACATCTCTGTATTATCAGCCCTGCGTTCAGCACAAATCCAAAGCACAGCCCTGTGCCAGCCACTGCGAAGAAAATTAACCAGCCCAGCTGAAACCAGCACAGAGTTAAATAATTCCCCATCCCCAGCTGTAACAACCTGTGGAAAACTTGAGCAGGATTGCACCTTCTGGATGGCACTGCAACTCTGGGAACTCAGAGACACAGCAGCACTGATGCCACTGAACTTGCAGGCTCACTGTGCTGAGCTAAAAATTAAATATTTCCAAAAAGTCCACTGACCCAGGTCTGATTTTCCAAACAACAGTATTATTGTAGTGCTATCAGTTCTATCTATACTCTACAGATAGAGTACAAGGTAAAGGAGAAAATTTTCAAAAACACTGAACTAAAAAAACCCCATCCCAAATACAGAAAAATGAAGTAACAAAAAGTTACTGTTCATAATGTCTGCTCATTTTGCAGCTAAAATGATATAAAAGAAAATATTTGATCAGAAATAGTGAAAATATCACTATTTTCTTTTCAGTCATCCTTACAGCTTTTCACTAACTGTAAAAGACATGATTTCAGTTACACAAGCACAGGAATTTCACACGAGACAAGTGATACAATTCATGAAAAGGACAGAACACATTTTCTTATACTCCACAAATATTCAGAGGTTTAACACACAAAATGGAATTTCTTCAGCAGCACTGATTAAACTCAAGATGAGGCAGGGATCTTCTTTACAAAGTAAAGGCACTGGCTCTTTGTAAACACGTACTCCTCTCTCTTTAAATGAGAAAGCACTCAAAATATTCCGTGGAGGAAACTTGTGTGGTAGTGTTCCATTGCTTATAAATATTTCATAGCAGAGATATCAAAGGCCTTTGTCCTCCTTTTTACTGTATTTAATAAGAAATGTTTTGTCTCCAACTTATCTAGTGAGAAACTTTTTGAATCTCCCCAGAAATGCTACAATGAAGCTATAGCAAAAACAGTGTTTTCTCTTATCTGCCTTTTGATACCTATAAAGAAGTTTCAAGGCAAAAGAAATGTCAGATGCCAGTATGAAACACACACGTCATCTCTCGTTTTCAGTATTGTGCTATCACTTTCCCAGAAGGAATAATTGGCTTATATTCAAATACAGATACATTTAAAATAAAAAAACAAACTCGTGAACATCCTTCTGCTGTGCACTTCCCTACTCTTTGACTTTTCAAATGCACCAGCAAGAATGAAGCATAAAAGATTATTAGATACTTCTGATCATGACAATTGTACTTCAAGACTCCTGATTTTTTTCAAGTATGCATCCTGAATGCACATCTCCCTACTGTGGAGAGTGTTCACACAGTTCTTTACTAATCAAACTGCAAGACTTGAAAATGTTAAAATAAATATTCCATACAAAGGTGAATTCTTTGCATCTTGAGCAAAATGAACTGAGCATTTTCATAGCTTCCAGTACACAACTACCACCAATATCAACAAACACGTCACTACTCATACACACGAATCCAGTGATTACACTAGCTCATATCACTCCATATCTAACCAAACTTGTGCATTTCTGAGTCACCTTCCTTCAGCTTCATAAAGCTGACTGAATCTTCAATGTAGTGCTTTCAGGTTCTACAGGACTGTCAACTGGTACCTGAAGAGGAAGATGAAAAAGTAAAAACACAACAGGAATTAGGCTGTTATTCAATAGAATTATTCTCAAACTCAGTATTTTTGGGTAATTATTAGGTTAGGCTCCAACAGTATATGTAGTTAATTAGCCCAATTAAGCAAATTATATGAAACCCTATTTTCTTTTCTTTTTGTAATAGATGAAGAGAGCCCAAACATAGAATGTAGTTTCTTAGTGTAATTCTAAAGTATCTATTTACTGCATATAAGTATCTGTCACATGAAGATTAATTTCCCTTTTTTTTCCTCTGATACATTTAACCACAGTAGATTCCTGATTAAGGTTCAGCATCAAAGTGATCCTGAACATTATTAACACAGCCAGGTCTCAATCATGCATGGCAACATCAGGGCAAGGACTGCAGCTTTTCTGACACCCTGGCTAATATGAATGAAGCCGGGTGATGATCTCGGCTAATTAACAAGGTGCTAATGGAAAGCAGATAAGTGATGAACAGCCCCAACCCTGGCTGGAAACCCACAGGATGCCACACTGAGCACCCGCAGCTGCCAGCAGGTTTCAGATTCAAGTTGGCTCAGGCAGCACCAGCTCAAAGTTTCTGAACCTCATACAGACACTAAAATTGGTCACAGATGATCAAAAGCTGCTGGGCATGCAAGACACCTACACAAAAATAAGCATGGCAGAGGACCTTGTGATGTCTGACTCCAAAAAGCTGTCTCATATCTTGATCCAAGCAATGAAAAACCCACAGCATTGAAAAAACTATCTACTGAGAGCTTTATTTCTACTAGTAAATGTAGTAGCTTGGAAAAACTGCTGAAACATGGAGCCTTATGATGATCAGAAAATGTTAGGCTCACTCTTCCTTTAAATTGAGAGTGTCAGCAGAAGAACAAACCCAGCTCTTTGTGCAGTATTGCATAGAAACTCCAGCATGGCTTCTGTTTATCAGGCACTGACTTCATCTGAAGAGACTGCAGGTATTTTAAATAAAATATATAGTATACAGGATGGCCTCACAACCCAATAAACAAAAAGGCTTCACAATTTAAAATGCTTCCCCGCCATTATGAAAAAGCAAGATTCAAGAAATAAAATAATATTATTTGCCACTTAAAACTCAAATATTCAAAAAAATTCTGAGAGCATAAGTTTTTTCAGTTTTTTTTCATGGGAGTTAAGGAGAAAAACAGATATGTGAGAGCAGCATCCCATGTGGCTCTGTTGCTGAAAACCAACATGGAACCAGCCATAAGACTTTGTCAAGTACTCTTTTGCAGCTGCTACTGTTCTGCCAGTAGAAGTCATGCATTCAAGTAGGTAATACAATCATGGTAAAAGAGTCACCACTTACAGCTTTAACGTCCAAGTTCATAATCCCTGAATTCACATTGTGTCTTCGCAAATCTGATTTTATTAAGGCTGAGAAAAGAAGGAAAAGGAAAGCTGGTTGACACCTTTGCAGTGACATGCAACTCAAGGAAAATGTTTGCAGGGTGCAAGCACACAGAAGCTGCTTTCAGCACATTTTCAAATACCTCTATTTTTTCTTTGCAATTTGAACTCACTGATAACTTGAACTTGCTCCTCACAAAGCACACAAAGAAGGCAATGACAATAAAATCTTTTAAATCACAAGCACTTAAAGAAAAGCTTAATAGTTCAGCACTTTCAGCACATTTGTGAGTCAACATGTATAAACACTGGCACAGTTCAAGAATGCATCAGCAATTTCTTGCATTTGGAAAACTGCCTCCATTTGTGCATTTGTTTCTATTTCTCCCCCCACTCTGGAGATGGACATCTGTCTCAAATTCAGGACATGTCTCAAGAGATGGTAGTGTCAGATGGCTGTTCATATATTAGCAACATCATCCTAAAAGCACCTACGTTTTTACATTAAATAAAAGCCATTACTTGCACTTGTAATTACCTGTTAAAATAATGCCCACAAAAATCCAAGCACAAAGAAAGATGTTTCCTGCACGAGGACTGTAGTCTGTTGTGAGCTTTCCTTGAACAAGTGTAAAGATAATTCCAAATATCTATAAACAAACAAGTAATGGCATCAGGATCACACAGAAAAAGAGTCATCTTTTTACCTTTAAAAGTTCCAGGTCACATCTTAGAGAAATCAAATTTTAAAAAACCAGGACTGTAGCAACAAAACAGAGACTTAGCAAAGTCTAAGAAAGCCTTCCTAGACTTGAGCATAGTGGCATTCCTGAACATTATTTCACTTGAAGAATAAAATGCTGTAACCTGTGCTGATGCATTGAGGAGACCTGAGGAAGTGCCTTCAGACTCTGGATATGTAATTTCCACAGCAAATTCAAACCCAAGTGGAAGATAGCCAGTCATGAAGAACCTGTTGAAGAGGAGAGTAAGAGGATGACAGGTGTGGCCTTCATCTGTTACTACAGCTAAGAAAACCTAACATACACACATGGTGTTATGAATTAGCTGGTATTCTGAATTGTCATGTGTTCATGACTTAACAGAATTCAGTAATTCCAAACAATAGTGACTGCTTCATTCCCTCAGCATGGTCCAAGAATTTTAGCCACACATCTTTCTCTTTAGGGCAAAGCTGTGAAAACGTGTTTGTCCTATTTCCCATAACCACCATGCATATGAAACAACCTTGGCAAAGGAGTCTGCAAGCCACTCCATACTTGAAGCCAATTACTTTCATATGAAAGCCATGCACAGACATCATCATTTGATCAGCCCAAATATCCATGTGGAGGACAAAAAGAGGCCATGAGCAGGGAGTGAGGCCGTACATTTGAACACCTGCTGGAAGCTGCACTGGAAGAAGCTGAGGCGACCAATGAATGATGGGAAGAGAAAAAGCTTAAAATGCAGCTGAGGTTGGTTGGTTTTTAAACCGAAACTCTCAAGACATTTCTGGTTTCATCTTGACTTCTGTGTCTGAATACAGCAACATTGCCTCAGCACCTCTTGAGTCTTTTAGATTGGGTATATATGAGCACAGCAAACAAAGGAACCAGCATGTTGCTTGGGCTGTCAAAGCATAGATTAATGAAAATGCAGAAAAGCCAGTTTTCCTAGATCTGCTCAAATTCTAATCACCTACACACTGCTCAAGAGAAAGCTTCAACTTCACTGCAGACAGCTTTTTGAATTGAAACCAGACAAACTGATCACATAGGGACCTCTCTTAGGTCCATAAAATGGAAAATGAAATTTACTGAAAAGTGTGTTACTTTAGCTTTATTCTGATGTAACAGAAGCTGAAACCCTATCTGTATTGTGAGCTAAAGGCATAGGCTGAGACCATGGTGACAGAATACACAGAATTATCTAGGTAAAGTGTTTCAAGTGTTTCAAGTTCTATTTAAAGTGTTTCAGAATAGAACTGCAGTAAGTCTTGTAGTGGTCTCTAATTGCTCACCCAAGCACTCCTCCAGTCACAAACACCACTATAAGGTATCCGAGGTCCAGGGTGAAGGTAAATACCAGCAACCCAATGAAAGAGAGAATGTAAACAATCAAAGTAGTTTGCCTGCAACCCAACAACAACAACAACAAATTAACATTGTTCATAGAAGGCCATAGCACATTGCTGAAGCACGGAAGGATAACATGAACATTACATAAGCCATTCTAAAGCTATAAAATTTGCTTCATGTAATTCTGTCCCAAACTTAGCATGCAGTGAGCACATATCCATTCCTGAACCCTTCATTGTCTGGCTGCTTCACTCAAGGCTAAGGACGCTGACTCAAACTCTCAAAGAATGGACAATCACAGCACATATTACCACCTTAAGACTATTTTAGTTCTCTGCTATGCTGTACCTCTTGGCCATTCTGCAGTGCTGCCCATTACACAATACATCAACACAGGAGCAGCTGAGTCCAACACTATTAGCAATAAAAGTCAGCCTACAAGAGGCAAGTCAAACAAATCTCATTGCAGTGTTCTATTTATTTTCAATCTCAAAGAAGGGATCTCTTCCAAATTCCTAAAGCACATATTTGTAAGCCAAAACATGCAGAAACAAAGCCAATCTACAGCATTAACATCCATTAGGCTTGTAGAGGCACATAATGTACTGAGTCACAGGGGAGAGCTATTCCATCACAAACAGTGCTCCAGGGCCGTGCTCGCTCCTGGGGGCACCACAGGATGATAGACCCAGGAGCTCCTGCCCCAGAAGAGAGGTCTGCTCCATGGTCACCCCCTGAGTTAAAGCAAACATTACACTTACTAATAGGATCAGGAGTAGCATAAAAAAATTGACAATCCATCAGCTGGCCATTTTACAAAACAATGCAGGGCAGGCTTTGAGACTTTATGCTTTCCTAGGAGGAGCAGCCCACTGGGCCACCTGTTCACTGTATGTAGGACCTACAGCGCTTTCCTTACACTCCTGAAGAGACAGGAGTAGATGACAAATCCCTTTGCATCGTGCCCCCTCATTTCTTTTGGCCAATAACCAGTGAGAGTCTCAAGCTTTTGCTGTAGCTGCAGAAACTTCTCACCATGCAGACCACTAAAAATCAGGGACCAACTCCATTTCATCAGCAGATCATTTCAGCCCTTATGTTGGAGTATTTTCCTAATGCAATTGCACCACTCTCCTACCCCTAGCCCCACACATGCCTACCCACACTTACTTGTATGTTTTAGTGTAATCCAGCCACAAACCACAAATAATCGAACCCACCATTCCTGCCACCACCAGTGTCAAGCCAATTCTCCCAGCGTTCACTTCTTCTCCCTTTCAACAAATATTTATATGGTGCTCATTAATAATTGCTTCCATTCAGAGTCAAGTTCAGACCTCTTGGCAGTCATAAGTACAAACAAACATTCTTATGACTCCCACAGCTGTATGGCACAAGAAACTGTACAGAGGTATAAAAGAAACCAAATGTCTGAGCACACATAGCACCTACAAAATAAATATCACCTCTGCAAATGCACAGCGAAAAAGAGAAAGATAAGATCCAAGAAACTTACCTCATAATGAGTTACTATCATCTGGTTTAATAATGTGGAGACAGAGTAAAATGCCCCAGTCATAATACCTGCAGTACCAAGAAAAAAGCTTCAGTCATTACAGGTGCAGACATGCTGATTTGTTACCCTAAAGGATTCATCTTCTGACATTTAAGACTCACAACACAAAACCTTTTATGTGCCAGGTAAAATCTGGACCTATAAGCGATATCTTGCATCCTTATGGACTTTCCAGCACTGGCATCTGAGTAAATGAAAGTTTGACCCTCCCTCCCCCATTAAAAAAAGCCCACAACTAAAATTCTACATGCTTCTGGCCCACATTTGAACCCTTCTGCCAGACTACATGCAGATAGCACCACTTACCATAACTGATTAGCAAAAGTATAAATGGAATATTTTTGAACAAGTTGATAATGGACTGCTTGTAGGAGTAATCCTCAGGAGGTTTAGTTTGCAGGACTGCTTGAGAGTGACTGGGAGGGTATTTGGGCTTTTCTTCAAACACTGGGGAAAAAGAAGGAACAATTTTTGAATCATCTCTACCAAACTAATATGCAGGGGTTTTTTAGGTTTTTGGAAGTGTTTCAGCATGATGAATTCCAGGAAAGTGACTTGCAGTTTTAACAACTCCATAAAAAAAAAAGTCTAGATTTTCTCATGGAAGAACTGAGTCACATCCACAAAGAATGTTTTATGTGGTCACATCTGATTGCTACCAAAATCTGCAATATGTCAGGACCTTTGTATACAAATTGAAAGATGAACAGAGTGAATTCACATTATATCATAAGTCCTTGCAGCAAAGAAACTAAGAGAACTAAATATTCTAAAAGAAATCACCCCATGTGAAGCATGACATTCAGTGAAATGGCTGTTGCTTAACCCTGGCACAACACCTAAGTGAACACAAACTGGAAAAATTGTGACCTCAACTACTTTGAGCAGGCAGCTGCTTTAAAGTGAGACATTGTAAACACTCTCTGTAGCCAGCGCATAAATCCCAGTAATTTGAACACTTACCAACTCCTGCTAAGAAGAACAGAAGTGTGGACACTATCGCTGTTCCGTAGAACATGATGCTGATGTTGTGTGCCATAAGATCAATATCATTCGGTGTATTTGGGACCAAAACAGGTGGCAGCAAGAAGCCAATTGCAGTACCAAGCTGTAAAACAAGGAGGAAAAAAAAAAAAAAAAAGCCAAAAATAATTTTCCTCTGCACATACAAATCAACAGAAGTGAAAAGTCTTACCAGGTAAAATTCAGAATTGTTATCATAATAAGCATTGATAAAACTTTAGTATCACACTTCTGAGCCACTTGCTCTCAATGTTGTTTTACAACCAGATCTTCCATAACCCAGGTTTAACCTTTCCCCTTCTCAATTGAGCTACAATTCCACACTTGGTGTATATATTTACAGTACACGTAGTACTTGTACAAGAATCTTCATACACATACAAGAACTTTTCACAGGAAGTGAAAACACCACGCATGAACATAAATTTGTATCAGTTATCCTGCAGCTGAAGGGCTACAGATGACACAAGATTCCAGCTACTCTTGCAGAAATGTTCTTCATTTGATGTCATGCTCCTGCCACTACAGCAAAGCTTGCATTTTAAATCATGAAGGAACAAGTCCTGAACTATTCTCCAGTTTCCCTCTTCTGCTCCCCTAAAACTTAGCGGCATTTTAAAGTGTTGGAACATTTATTTTAGGTAAAATTAAATGAAAAAAAGAGCACCAAAGACTGTTACAGTGGCAAGTCCAACAATCGGAAAGCACACACATTAGAGGTGTGCCACTGTGCTTACAAAACACCCTTTGTGCATACCCTGATGAGGGTTTTGCTAGTTTTTTTCTTCCCAGGCCATCATATTGGCACAGTATCCAGAGGTCACAGGAAGAATTTCTCTCTGTTTGTCCTCACTCTTCATTACATGAACCCTACAAACACGAACTGAGCACACAGTTACTTTTTGTATTTAGGTATATTTTTTCCTCACCCAAGGGGAGCCGGTGCAGTACCCACAATGTCCCAACAAAGTCGAGTGATACCATTTCACATCATTTACCTCTAGAGAGGTTAAGGCCAGAAGAAAGTGTTCCAATGAGTTTGGCATGCCTCACTTAAGACGGTAAATACTTGTGGAGATCTGGCACTCCAAACAGCCCTTGGCAGGTACACCACTGCATTCCCAGTGATTTGTGTTCCAGCTGCAAACGATCAGCGTCCCAAAGGAGTGAGATCTACATTTTGATCACTGCTCCGTTCCTCCCCTGCCTGCTGTCCCTGCCTGCCGCTGCAGCTCTGAAGTTTCACACAGTCTGAAGCTGTGCGATAAGCAATCTGATAAGCAATTGGATGACCAGCAGCTGGGTGGGTTATAACAACGTGTTCTATGGCACAGTTCAGGTTGTGCAATTGCCCAGTACACTGAGTGTTCTGTTACACAGTTCATGCTGTGCAGGTATCAGGACACGGAGACCCAGCAGGAATGTGTATGCAGAAGGGAACTGCAGCGGGATACACAGACATTGCTGCTCACTTGCAAGTGCCTAACTTCTTGCTACTCTTTCAATCTAGCTTTTGAGAGTTTGTAGAGGTTTTTTTAAGGAAGTAAAAAAGAGAATAGAGAAATTCTGTTGTTCTATTAACACACTTGAACAGGCACACTGGGACCAGTCCTAGCTTCTGGAGGGGAATACACTCCAGAAATATCCATGGCTTATTTTGTTCACATCCTGATCCTGTTTCCCTTGTCCATCCTTCTCGTGGCTCCCATCCACACAGTCCTGCCCTCCTGCTCCTGTCCTGCATCACTTCAACCCCACATCTCAGCATCCCAGTGAAGCATCAGTTTCAGGCTCCAAGCTGGATACTTGACACTCTACCGCAGAACTGAAAACCTGGTAACTCCTAGGAGGACTGGTGCATGTCAAAGAAACCTTTAACCTCATACCAGGATACAGATCCAAAATTTTTGCCTCACTGCTGAAACAACCAACAATTTCTGAAATCTTCAGTCCAAAAGAGACAGTTGACTTGCCCACTGGAAATCTTCAATGCAAAAAAAAAAGTTTTTGAAGAACTGTGAACAGCCAAGTATCACCTAACGAGAAATCGGCTAGGTTTAGGTACACCCTCACTGTAAATATGTAAAATGAATGCCACTGCCGTCACAATCCAAAGTGCACAAACATAAAATCATTAGACTCCCAAGATAAAAAACAAATCCCTCATTATCTTAACCAAACTCTACCTATGACCTCAGCCTGCATCAGTGATGCTGATTTGAATCTTAGCCATTTTTTTGCCACAGGAGAAAAAAAAAAAAAAAAAAGCTGGGACAGTGGCAGGAGGTGAAAATTAGGCTATAGGAGGAAAAAGTATCATACCTGCACCTGTGCTTTCAGATGCGCCTGTTCCAGCTCTGAAACTGGCCAGGACCAGGGAGCTTGAGGAAATCCGTGACTCAGTTATCAGCTCCCAACAGTGATGTGAACTATCACAGCGTTACACAAAACTTCAGGAGTCACCAGGGTATTGACTACTGGCACCTGGCAATTAGAGGCCACATTTTAAAAAGTAGAAACCAATACATGTTGTCGCTGGGGCTCTTCATGAAAGTTCACGTAGTTCATACCCCTCCAACGGGGGTGGATTCAGTCAAATGAATCCAAGCGCCAAAATGAGACAGAGGAAGTGGGGCAGGACCACATGTGAGTGAGAAGGTTCTCTCCTGGAACTGCCACATGGCCCGGGGCAGCCCCGCTTCCTCACTCGGCCGCTCTCCCGACACCGCATCCTGCAGGAAAGCTTCTCCCGCTCAAGCACCACGTTTCCGACTCGATGCGAGCTCCAAGGCAGCCCACTCCTCCAAGCCCCCCTCGCTCCCCTGCGGCCCTACCTGGTTGCCCAGCACGGCCACGGCGCAGGCGGTGGAGACCTCGGTGGGGCCGAACCAGACGGAGGCGATGCGGGAGGGCAGCCCCAGGATGAAGACCTGTGCCACGGCGCACACGGCCTGCGCGGCCAGCGTGAGCGGGTAGCGCTGCGGGGCCAGGCTGCCGCACTTGAGCCAGGCACCCAGCGCGTTGAGCCCCGCGCCCAGCAGCGCCGTGAGCCGCAGCCCGCGGGCGTCCAGCAGCCAGGTGGCCGGCAGGATCAGCGGCACGTAGGCCACCATGTACACCATGGACAGCCAGTCGATCTGCGTGAAGGACACGCCGTAGAAGCCGGCGAAGACGTTGCTGAGGATGCTGTACTGGATCCACTGGAAGGCGTTCACCAGCGAGTAGCAGCTGAACACGGCCAGCACCGCCAGCCGCCGCCGCGACAGCCGCGTCTCCAGCCGCGCCTCCCGCCGCTCGCCGCCCGCCGCCAGCATCTCCTCGGCCTCCGGGGCCGCTCGCTGCCCGCCGCCCGCCGCCTCCTTGCCGGGCAGGAAGCCATTGCAGCGCTGCTGCTGTTGCTGCTGCGGCGCCGCCGGCCCCTCCCCGCTCTCCCCCTCCGCCTCCTCCTCGCCGCCGTCCTCCACCATCTCGGCCGTCTCCGCACCCAGCTTCCCCGGCGGCGGCGGCGGGCGCAGCCCCGCTCTGCCCGCCAAGGTCACCTGGCCGCCGCTCCGATCGCCGCCCCGCCCCGCCCCGGGGCCGGGCCAGCGCCGAGCCCGAGCCGAGCCCGGCGGGCGGAGCGGGAGCGGGAGGAGGCCCCAGGGAGGGCGGGACCGGCAGCGCTGCCCGGGGCGGGGGGCTCCGGGGGCAGGGACGGCAGTCCGGGCTGCTGGGAAATGCTGGGAGCGTGGAGATAGATTAGATAGATAGATAGATAGATAGATAGATAGATAGATAGATAGATAGATAGATAGATAGATAGATAGATACAGTTGTTTTGTTCACACCTCTGCTCCCATTTTCTTTGTCCATATTTCTCGTGGTTCCTTATCTGCACAATCCCTGCGCTCCTGCTCTGCTTCAATCCCTGCATCCCAAGATCTGAGTACTGTGTGCACACACACACAGAGACTCACACTTCTTTAAGTCTTTTAAACTGAACTTACAAAGGCTGTGTGACTTTAGCTGGCTGCATGAGAATGATGGGGTGATAGTAGATGTCACCCTGATTTTTTAAGATTTTTCTAAGCCTTCTGATGTTTATATTCTTGTAGCAAACTTTCTCACACACTTTCTGTAAATAACTTATTGTTTTGCATTCTTTTATGGAGGAAGAGCAATTTGGTAGACTGTTGGTTTGTCCAGTGTCATTGGAGAGGTGGCATTTTCACCCTCCAATCCACTGCCACTTTTGGAAAACTACAAATGCTGGAGTCAGAAAATAAACTTCCCTTTTTTCACCTTGAGAGCAGCACTGTGTATGCTCGTGTTGTTTTGTGTCCTATAGTGACAAGTAATGATGTGAATCATCCCCACAACATCTCCAAGGAAGGAGCAGCGTCACCTCCTTCCTGTAACCTTTTTGGTGGCTGGTGTGCTGGGTGGGCACAGCCTGGTGCTTTGTGACCCATCCCTCGCCTCTCCTCCTGGGCACAGGCAGGGCACCTCGACTGCTGCTCCATCTGAGCAGGGACACATGGGCCACACCACTTCCAGCACATCCTGGGAAAATCCAGGGCCTTCCCTGCCCTATTCAGATTTGTCTCTTTGCGGTGGTGATGCAGAGAACTGTACTGAAGTGATAAGAGACGGATGGGCAGAGGCAGAGCCCAAACTGCAGCAGAGGGTGCCAGTACAGTGCATTATCAGGGCGTGTGCATCCACCCCTGTCCTTCACTGCCTCCAGAGCCTCAGGCAAAACATTCCTTGTTTCCACTCAACCTCTGAAATTGGATTTGACACGTACCCCAGAAAACTGGCCCTCTGGCTCATGTGCAGTGGATATCACTTCAGTAAGCAATCTTCCCCCAGACCCTGCCCGTCCATGTCTGCACAGCAGCAGTGTCTGGCAGTCCCTGTCACTGCTGGTAATTCTGCTGCTGCAGACAGTGTCCCCTAATAAAGAGACAGATTATTCTCCAAAGCAAAATAAGAAATTTTTTAGTTTGCTAACAATGTTAATAGTATTTTCCTGGTTTCTGTGGGAAATAGTTTGGAACATGTTCAGCAAATAACACACTGCACATTGTTCATGGGTAGGTCAGAGCCTAATCAGATCTGTCTGGGCTGTGGATACACTCAGCCACCAGTCCTAAGTACCCTCACTAATTAGGAGTTGGTATTTTACTCAAGACCTGTTGACCTATGTAAGCCACAGTTCCTAATCTTGTTTACAGTATAGATAATAATATGAACATGTGCTTCAAACTATTAATTTGCCTATGTTTGCTTTCCCTGAGCACTTAGCTGAGCAACAGCAGTGATGATTGCAGGCACCATGGAATTTTAGAGACTACTGCAAGTAATCCTGAATTTGCAGGTAGGAGGTGTGAGCAAGAAATCTGCTCTTAAAAATAAAGCTACCTATGTCAGATTCAGGCCCTTCTTACCTCTCATTCCTGCCAAAAAAAAAAAAAAAAGGCCTGATTTATTTTTAGTTTTCCTCTGTAAGATCAGATGCTTGGTAAATTTCTCTCAGTTTCTCTATCTGACTTGTCCTAAGTACTCTAGCAATGGAGCTTTTTTCTTTTTAAACAGGACCTCAAGAGGAACAAGTATATCGGGAACTGAAACAAACATTGTCAAAGCAACAGAATAACTGGCTTTCACTTTAGGAGTGTATATCCATATTGCACATTGTGTGCTGAAAACAAGGCTGAGACTCTGTCAGTGCCAGTGCTCGGCCCTTCATGAGCTCTGGCACAGGCTGTGGTTGCCCTGGGGGTCAGGGAAAGGGCTGGGACACTTGGGCTGGTGGAATAGATGTAGTGTTAGCACCCTAAACTATTCTTGTTCTTTAGGAAGAAGGTACAAACACTGACCTACAGCTGACTTCATTTAACATTTTTTCCCTTCGAAATTTGGATGATCTCAAAGTCCATCCAAAGACAGCATTTACTCCTTAAAACCAGATGAAAATAGGCTCTGTTCTCCTGTTCTTCCTTTCCCTGCTGCTGCGCCCTTGCCTGCTCACAGCTGCTGCCAGCTAACAACCTCAGAGAAGGGCTCAAACCCTTCCTGTGCTAAGAATGGCTGGCACATCTTGGCTTTCACCACCGCCGTGCCCACAGAGCATCGTGTGTCCTTGCTATCCAGCCACTGCTCAGCACATTCCCTGTCATGGGCTTCCTGCACAGAAGCAGCAACGAGACACCAGGGAGCTGCAGGGGAAAGGAAAGAGGCCCTGGATGCAAGCCAGCTCCGGGAAGGAGACTTCTTCCAGAGAGAAACAAGTGTATTTACAGCAGATGGACACAGAGGCAAATCCATCTTTGCTGCGCTGCACTGGTCTCAGTGAAATCAAACCCAGAGTTGGATTTTGGTGAGGTACAACCAATGCCTTTGCATCCTGGCGACATTTATCTCCAGCAGCACCTTCCTAAGAAACAAAAGAAAAGATAAACCAGATTTACAACATGATGGCTGTGAAAAATGGATATTTTATGACTGGATTTTTGCAAATATTAAAATGAATATGTGTTATGTTAGAAAGTTATGTTGTATTAATTTTTTTAGTAGTGTGTCAAATGTAGTTTTCGGTTATAACAAAATGTTAAAATAGAAACTATGCTATGTAAGATACTTTTTTAAAGAAAGGACTTGCACCAGCTAGCAGCCATGGGACACCTGAATCTTTCAGAGAAAGAGAATTTATTGCCCCATTATCAGAAGAAACGAACACCTTCCCTCTTTGCTCAGCCATGAAGATGCCATCAGGATTAAGAGGAAGAAGTTGGCACTGACCAGACAGAATCCTGTGTTTGAATGGAATTTATGCATCATGTATGAGATGTATGAATATTCAATGCACTATTGCTTTTAAGGGTTAATCCTCTGTTTACGTGGTGTATTTTTTGGGCTTATGCTGCCCAGAAAAAGGTACCTGGATGTCTGTTACTCTTTGTTTCTGTTGTCTCATATTGTCCTAATCCAAATTGTCCAAAATTATGATTACTCTAATTATATTCCTATTTTATAACCATTTTATTACTATTAAACTTTTAACATTTTAAAAACAAGTGATTGGTGTTTTTCACAATGGCAAAGCTTTGATATTTATGTCCTGCTGTATTTCATAGGTTTCAGGAGCATTACTTCTGATTTATAGCCATTTGTTCAAAAAGCAGCACCAAGGACAAAGTTGGCCAGAAAGAGAAAGTTACCCCAGGAGAAACATCCATTGTAGCATTTCACTTAAAATGTGAGTCCCTGGATTTCTGCATTTCGAGGAAAATTTATAAAGCTAAAAACAGAACACTGATATCAAGGTTTACAGCACAGTTTAGCTTAAAATTGCTATCTGTTTTAAATTTACCCTCTAACTGAAAACTTAGGCTCTCCTGAATACTCCTATTGGTGACAGAGCCAGAAATTTCTCATGTATACACAAGCAGTAACAAAGTTATTTTTCTGAATGCTCTGAAAAGACCAAAATGCATCTTATGTATCAGGCAGTCTCTGGGAAGTGATACAAATTTACTCCACAAAAATTATTTCCTTGTATCCAAATTCCAGAAGGCAGGCAGGGACCTAACACTTAAATTTTTGTGCTGGAGAAGGTTCAAAACCAATTAGAAATGCCAAATCCTTACTTGCAGTAGTGTTTTTGTTACTTCTGTAGCATATGTGCCATTGAAAGAAGAGTGTATCTTCACAATTATTTTGAAACTAAAAATTCATCTTGCAGCTACTGCATGTTTGTGCAAAAAAATGGCTCAGAAGGAGCCTTTTTAATTCAATCCAGGGCATTTCACAAAAGACAGAAACTCAGCTGTAGAGCGCTGCTTTCAGGGTGTTATCAGCTTTTGGACACCCCTAGCTGGGTTATCTCAGTCATGTAAAATCCTAGTTATGTCCTCCTTCCAAACCTCAAAATGGTATCTTAGCCCCCCATAAAACCCCCACAAGTCCATCCATCTTTGGAAAACATGAGGCCAAGGTTAGGAGTCTGAAATGGAGATTGTAGAATCTTGCAAAAAATTCCAGCAATTCTAAAACAACCCTAAAGAAATTTTATGTACATCAGACAACCGGTGAAAACTTCCAGATCTTCTGGTTTTAACGTTTCAAACCATGTATCGGTCTGCAAGAAAAAAAAAATTAAACTTTATTTTACAATGCATTTGTATCTTGGTTATGATGGTCAGTGCAAAAGCTGATCTCTCCTTGCAGAGAAAACCCACATGACAGGAGAGCGCCAGGTCCTTGTCTCCCAGATGAGTTGTTTAAAAAAGAAAACCACAGCAGCTCAAGAAAGGGATTTCAGAACAAAAGATCTGAAGTTCCAACTGAGATAGAAATGAACAATTTTAGCTGGATATTAAACAAAGCTCAATAAGCTGGACTTGAAATAAAGAGTTGGCGAGTCACACGCCTAAATGTCTTGGTGGAAAGCTCAGAGAGAATTCAGGGGGAAATGTAAACATCCTTTTCCTCCTATGCTGTCCTCATTCCAGCTACATTTGCCCAGTGTCCCCACAAGATAAAGCCAGAACCCTCAACTGAAGAAAAAGCATTTGCAACTCATGGCATTTGCCTGAAATCTGTTTGTAGCTCCAGGAGTTTGCCTGGCCACCCCATTTTGGGAATATGACTGCCCACAGTAGGCATGTTTGCCAGTGACCTGGGTTCAATTTCTGATGTACTGACAAGAATATACAAAAGTCTGAATCTTAAATTATGGGTAATTAACTTCTCTACCATAAACAATAGAAATTTGTGTTCCTGAGTGTCTCGATCCATACAAAAGATGCAGAAATGTACATCTGGCACTTCTGTTTGGCTGCCATCTGCCTTTATTTTTGTAGCTAGCTATCCATTTCATATATGTAATGGAATTTTACCCCTGAGTTTCCTAGCAAAGTAAGCAGGGAAAAAAACTACTGAGACAAAATAAATTTTTAATACAAATAAATAATCATGTCAACAAATATAGTTGGGAAAATTTATTGGGTTATTATTCTCCAAGATAAACAGGCTCTTCATATATTACAAAAAATGTAACTTTCATTTGAATTCTTTATGCACAGTAAGAAAAGTGTAAATGCCCACTAAAAAAAATATTAATAAAATGCATGATCTGTAGAAGGGTTGTCTTAGATGAACATTCTCATTTTTGATCAGCACTCATTCACTGGGAGGTTATTAAATCTGGGGAAGGGCTTGGAGGCCTTTTCAGTGGTACATCACAGATTGCCTCCACTGATACCCCAGCACAGCAACGTGCTCCCAGGCAATCCTGATGCCTTGGGTTCCTCTCCTTACCAAAAGATCACCAAAAAGCTGACAGATGACATCAGCCTGGACCATCAGAGGGCTGTGGAACAGGAGGGATGGAGAAGCTGTGCAGATGCAGCCAGAGGCATCTGGGTGTGCTCCCCCAGAGCCCTGCTGGGCGGCAGCTCATCCCACCCCAAACACACACCTGGAGATGTGCAGGACTCCGCCAACACGCTCCACTCAGCAACTCAGCTTACAGGAATTCAGGAATGTGGGAGTTGTCTCTGTTGGCTGCAGCAGGACCACAGGTGGCTAAGTCAGAGGGAACTTCTGTGGGTGCAGAATGTCCACTGAGAGCTCCTGCACACCTGCATAGGAATGGGGAGCAAGCAGCTGGTGAAACCACCTTTCAAAGCAACAACAATAAAATCTTCACTTCTAGGATGTCTCAGAGTTACAAAATAAAGCACCTTGCTCTTGAAAACACATGGTGTGTTCTCCTTCACTACCTGATTCATTACACTTTACCTACCTGTCCATGCACACAGATCCTTGGGAAATTAAATGAAAGGGACATGTGATTCTGGAGACACTAAGAGTCTGGTATGAAAATGTGTTTTAGAGGCAGATTGTTCACCCAAGCTTGAGAAACATTGCTACTTTTACTGTTGAGGAAAACTAAATATTTAGTAACAGCTTGAAGTTCCCAATTTCCCTCTGAAGAGGTTATCAGCAGGAAGAGACCCTTTAAAGGTCCACATGCATTCCATGGGGAAGATGCTGGCTGACCTCAGCTTCACTAAAAACCAGCAGGATTTTTCTTTGTTTAGACTGGGCAACAATAAAAGATTCCTGCCCAGGACCCTGGCTGTGAGAGTACATTATGGAAAATACATTGATATTCCAGCAAGGTAAATCATTCTAACAGGAAGTCAGACAGACAGACACCAGGGACTCTCCTTGTTGGAGCTCCTGTGTTGGGAAAGCACTCCAAGAGTTCTCCAAAGACCCTTTCGAACAGTAGCCTTTTGCATCACAGCTACAAGATATAAACTCTTTCAGATTAGCTGCAAACCCACAATCTTTCACAGAAAACTCCCTCTCTTATACTGTCAGGGGAGACAAACTTAGTGCCCATATCGATCAGTGGGCAGCTCCTGTGCCAGGACAACCCCAGGGCTTGCAGAACTTCTTGCATGTGAGTGACAACACCTACTCCATCCAGATGTTTGGAGACCCTGGCCTTCTGCTCCCACCTCCAGCCTGCACCATGCCCAGCTCCTGGTGGCACCACGGGGAATTGAGGGCACCCAGCTCCTGACACCCCCGAGTGCCCACAAATACATTCACCAGTGTGTTTCACTGGAGCAGCAGTCAGAGGGTATCAGCCCAGCAGCTGCAGTGTTGTGGAGGTGCTCACAGGGGGCCCAGGACAAGGGTAGAGATGAGAACCTTGACTCCATATTTCAGAGGGCTGATTTATTACTTTATGATATATATTCTATTAAAAGAAAATTATATATTAAAACTACATTAAAATAATAGAAGAAAAGATTTTATCAGAAGGCTAGCAAGGAAAGGAAATGAATGATAATAAAATCTTGTGAATGACCAGAGAGTCTGAGCCAGCTGACTGTGATTGGCCATTAATTAAAAACAACCACATGGGACCAATCACAGATCCACCTGTTGCATTCCACAGCAGCAGATAATTATTGTTCACATTTTGTTTCTGAGGCCTCGCAGCTTCTCAGGAGAAAGAATCCTAGCAAAAGGATTTTTCATAAAATAACATGGCAACATAGTGTCCACCTAAAAATTGTCTGTCTTGTGAGTACCCTGTGGCTCTTAAATGTAGGATGACAGAATTTATTTTGGAAAAGATCTTTAAGATCATCAAGTCCAACTGTTAACCCAGCACTACCAAGTCCATCACTAAACCATGTCCCTTAGTGCCACATCTGCATGTCTTTTAAATACCTCCAGCAATGGTGATTCCAGCCCTTGTCTGAGCTGCCTGTTCCAACACTCAAAAACTCTTTCAGCAAAGAAGTTTTTCTTAATATCCAGTCTAAACCTCCCCTGGTGCGGATTGAGGCCATTTATTCTTATCTGCACCAGTGCAGGCAGGGATATAAACATGAGAGAATGGCCCATGAGAAGCAGTCTCACTGCAGCAATCCATACAGCAATGTGCAAAATACATCCCAGCTCTGCCAGAATGGCATTCAGACTGTTTAGGCCTTTGGAGATAATCCTACAACTCCAATGAACTGCAAACACAGGGTGAACAGAGTATTTGTGTCCCTTAAGACCCCAGACAGTACCAACAGTTCAAAGCTTTTAGAAACCTTAGGAGGGGAATGAGGTGGAAATAACTTGGGTCCTGGGAATAACTGTGCTCTGAGTGCTCTCTCCTCTCTGCTGGCTGTACAGCAGCCCTGGGAGCTGTGCTCAGGACAGAGGTGGTGTTGGGGGCCACAAGGCAGAATCAGAGCTGCTGAGAGGCACAGGGCAGCTACACAGCTTGGAGAAGGACCATCACAGCCAGGAGCCAGGGACAGAGCCTGTCCCTCAGAGTGCCGTGCTCAGGGACGTCCCTGCATCCCTCCTCCCAGCCCAAGGGAAGGGACAGGGACAGCTCTGATTGCCTCCCTCACCCAGGCAGATTTGGCGTTCTTGGTGACTCCTGTCAGCCCGGCTGCTGCCAGGATAAATGTCAGTGCTGGAGCAAAAGCCTTGTTCCCCTTCCTCAGAGCATTGGGAGGGGATGGAGCAGCCAGAGCCTGGGGCAAGAGCAGAGCTGGGAGATGTTGGGATGGACAGTGCTGAAGGTGGAGCTCCCACTGCTCCCTGACAAGTGGTGGGCTTGGCAGGGGCTGCATTTATTGAGGAACTGAAGGTACCTACATGTTTGGGAATTTTATTTATTTACAAACACCAACTGTTTCACTGAGAATGACATACTGAGCCTTCCCTTTAGAAGTGTGGAAATTGTTTTTAATGTTCGTAGGTGTAAACCTAACCTAACCTAAACCTAATGGAAAGGGCTTGTTTTTTTCTGAGGAATACCGAAAAATAAATGTGCCTCTAGTTTTAAGATGAGCAGGTTTTTTTTCAAAACAATAGCTTATTGGAGGCTTAGCTTCAAACTGCTATGTGACTTCTCTTTCTCATTGGTTTTTTTTTCCAAAATCAAAAAAATCCTACTGTCTCATTATCACTCCAAAGGGAAGCATGGGCATTGATATGTTTCATGGCAGCCCCAGCCAATTCCTCATCCATGCTAGTATTACTTTTCCTTTTACATTGATTCAGATACTGGAAAATGATATTGGAAGAGAGAGCAAAAGGCAAAGGCTCATGCAATCCAATTATAACCCTGCTGAAATAACTTCAGGAACTCTGCAAGGATTAACATGATCAAGCCTTGTAATGGCAAGAGGGAAAAAATAATAGCAAGAAAATAATAATAATAACAAAATAATAAAAGAAGAATAATAACCAGCTGGTACCTTTTCTAGGATGACAGACTGTGTCCCAGCAAAGTTATGGAGCAGCATGTCCTGAGCACCCACAGTGTACCTATGAAAGCCAGGGAACTGGGATCAGGCTGCAGAATTGAGCAGCCCAAACCCTGTGTATCAAACTTTCTTACAGCAGGATGAGAATGCTCCAAGACTAAGCAAAACTACAGCCACTGAAAAATGCAGAGCTTGGATTTGTTAACCCTGCCCTCCACATGGTGAAATGGCTGCTGAGATTCCCTTGACACACTGGTAGGTGGGCAAGGACAACCAAATTGACTTACCAGTCACCAGAGGACTGGCAATGGGCACATTTCTCATTTAGCACCTTCCTGGTCCAAAATGGGACTTGCAAATACAGGAAAAGTCTTTGTTGCAATTGCTCAGCTGCCTCTCTTCCAGGTCCATGGCACTTTTTTCTGTCCTGTTGTCTTCTGTCACTTTTTATTTTAAGATATTGGTTTTTAATGAGTGGAAAGGATGTCTTTTTCCCTATTAGATGAGTAAAATTTGGCATATACATATCTGCTTAAAATAGTCCACAGGGAGAAAAAATACCTCACAAAATCATACTTTCTTCCATAATTAAAAAAATCCACTATACTGGGTAATGCTGTGGCAGTGCCTCACTACCTTCACCACTCCTCTCCCAAAGTTACAGTGCTCTCCTTGGTCCTGGTTTCACTAATTTTCAGGTGTATTTTGGGATTCCTTATGTTACTAGGTCTGTACTAACCTTGAGCCTCTGAGATGAAGAACCTCAGAATAAAAAGAATTCTCCTTTGGAGAGATAATCTTGAGGAAAGGGCTAGGAAGTCTGCCACGTCCTCATCAGAAGCACAGCTGGAAAGGAACAGTTTTCCAGTTGGCTTTTGGCAAAGGCACCATGCTCCTAGATGTAAGTGCTCACAAGCATGGTTATCTTTTCATCTCAAACCACTGAACACTTAGATAAACTTCAAAACAATCACCAGTGTTCTTTGGGGGATGCCTGTGGAGCTGTGATGCAGGAAACAGGTGTTGAGCCTAGTTAAAGTCCCACGTACAAAGGAGACACCCTGAAAGGTTCTGACTCCTCCAGGCAAGTCCAAGTCCAGCTGCTTTGCTGTGCCAGGGGCTGCACAGGGCTCTCTGTGCTCCTCACATTGCTGAGCCATGGACACAACCCATGGAGTGAAGTCCAGCCCAATCCACACAAAAAGTCATCTAAAACTTTGTGAAATGTGATGAACTTCTAAATGGGGGGATCTAATGCCTTTGCCAGCTTCATTTTCTCAGGAGAGTGGCAGAAGCTTTTATCAGAGAATAAACAGAGCAGCAGACAGCACCCTTCAAAAGACAACAAACCTTGAAATATATTAACATATAAATAATAAAAAATCAAGAAAATGTGGTAACAGCTGCAAAAACACTCCTGGCACAAGTTAAAGTAGCTTCAGTAGCTTCCCTACAATGTCTTCATTGCAGGAAGACATTAGCATTTCAGACATCTATCAATATGCTCCCCTTGTGGGATTTTGCAATTTTCATTTTACTCCTGCATGGATGTTTAGCCAAAAAAAGAGAAGTTTTGGGGTTTAATCTTAACTCATTTCATATCTATCCATGCAGAGGAGTGTAAGCAGTCAGAGATTACAATTAGTTAGCTTCAGACAGTTTCCACATAGCCAAATCAAGCATCCTCTGGTTCTGCAGAAATCAGAGCAGATTGCCTCACCAATGGCCTCCAGCTTTATCTTTGTGTTTCTTGAAGAGCAGGACAGATTCCATGGCCTGCAATAAACCAGCTGAGCCATGGCAAACAAAGCCACAATACAAAACTGTATTATGGCACAACTTGAAAAGCAGACCATGAAAATGAGTGTCCAGGACAGAGGCTACCAGTCTCCTGTGCTGATGACAGCTTCTAAATAACCTAATCACTCAGCCCTTTGAGAACAGAATTAATAGATTCAAGGAGGTTGGAGGGATGTTAGTCCAGGTAACTCTGCTAGTGAGCAAAGAAAGGCCCCATTCTTCATCATTTGGCTGAACAGAGCCTCATCTTATAAGTGCTGAGAAACCTCTGAGAAACCTTTTAAAAGGTCTCTGGCAGCTGGTCCTGTGTTCTTTCCAGAGCAAAGGCAGTGGTCAGCGCCAGGGAGCAGGTCTTGCTGAGCCACCCTTCCAGCCCAGCCCCTCAAATCACTGCCTTTTCAACCAGCCCTTCATCACTTTGGGCTGTTGTGCTGTTTGGGCTGGGCTTGAATTAACTTTCCTCAAAATGCCTGATATACAGGCCTGTGTTTTGGATTTGCTTTCTGCACAGAGCTGTAAATAAATCAAATACCTCGACTCTGTGTGTGATTAGTCTCTTTTACACTGGGTGAAATAAAGTGTAAGAAACCATTTTGAAATAACAACAGCAGCCTACATGTGCTGGTCAAGAAATGCCATCTTTGGATAAATGTCACACATGTGGATTGTCAGTGGATGTGCTGCACTCACCAGGAGCAGAGGAGGGATTATTTGGACAGTGCTGACATCTGCTTGTGCACAGTATACTCCACATTAGCCGACTGCACATGCACCCACCATTGCTTCAACCTAGCACAGAAGTCCTGTGTAGCACAGAGCTGAGTTTCCACCCTGACTTTTCCAGGCAGGAATAATGACCCTAGAGAAACGGGAAATTACCTGGTGATGTTGTGACTGGAACTCCCCACATGGTGCTCCATTTAACTTGTTCCCACAGCACTCCATTTGTTTGCTTCCTCACTCTTTGTTGTGTGTCCAGAAACGATCTGAGCACAAAAATACTCTCTCTATATATGGTTTTAACAATAAAGGCAGTGCCAAGCAGCACTTCAAAGCTGCCCTCTCCACTTCACAAGGACAGACCTTCCTGTTAGATAACCCCAGGTCCATTCCACAGGTTCACCAGGGCTCATAGGCTGAGCAGACCTAGGAGGCTCCAAGGAACAGGTTCAATTCCACCCAGGAGGTGCAGCATCCCATGTACACACATTTCTATGGAATTCATTTAACATGCTGACCCTTAGTCCACATCCACAGCTCAGAGGTTTTGTACAATGGTCAACAAAATCTGGCAAAGAGACAAACGTCTTGGAGGTACAAAGCCCCTAGAAGGTTTGTGGCAGTTTGTGGACAGGTAGGTGACACTGTCCCCCTTCCCTCTTGTGGCCACCAAGAGGAGTCACACACCCAGATGCTGAGTCTGATGCCAGCACTATCCAAACATGATCTACCCAGACAAATCCTGCCCAAATGACAATCCAACAGGCTCGGGATGGGCACCACAGAAGAGACATGGGAACTACAAGGAGATGACAGGGACACAGAAGAAAGCCAAGATGATGTGACAAGCAGAGTCCAGAAGGTGCATGGAGGAGCTGGTTGTACCATGACAGAGATCAGGGAGAAACACTGGGAACTGGAAATGCAGCCCTGGGGTTGCTGGGCTGTAATGGGAGCATCACAGGACATGGGAAGGACTTTGGGATCGCATTGGTGAGGAGATCATAAATCCCTGGGGGAAAAAAGCATTATTGGTTGTGCTGCTTGTGAAACAACTTCTATCAATCTTGCATCATGTACTTTAAGGTGTAATTGGGCACCAAAAAGGAACCCAGCACCCATTGGCACTCCTGGTGACAAAGCACACAGCCCTGGCACAGCCAAAAGAGCAGATGCAAAGCCCATATGGGAGCACTGAATAAGATAAACCCTGTGTCCACGCTCTGTTGCAGAAATACAAAATATATGTGGGCACCTCACCTGGACTGTGGCGCTGCCCATCTGCTCTGCTCCGAGTGGGATGAACCCCACCCCACACAGGATGGAGTCAGGATGCCCTTGGGGGGCTGAGGGGACAGGGACACGTCAGCTGCTATTCCCTGCAGCCAGGGCAGCCCAGGTGCAGTACAGGCAGGCAGCCACGGGGACCTCGCAGCACATGGAGAGAGATGAGAGAGGAGAGAGGAGAGAGGAGAGAGAAGAGAGGACATCGGCCACGGGGAGGGAGGGCTCTGCCGCTGCTCAGGCACCACGGACTCGGTGAGAGGGACTGACAGGGTGGGGAGCACAGAGAGCCCTCCCTGCACTGCAGGCAGGCTTTAACAGCCAGCCCAGGCACAGACACAGCCCGTCTGCTGCTGATATCTGGGCAGCAGGGCCTCAATCACACTGCCCATACTGTCACTTTTCCGTGTCTGCACTTCCAGAAGAGGGGGATGAGGCCCTGCTTCCCCACATGTCACTGCTGCTTCGTGGTCATTCAGGCAGCTGCACTCACCCCTGTATGGGCAGCTGAAGGTTTGCCCAGCCTCAGCACAGCCAGGGCTCTGCTGTGGCAGGCTGGGCTCGCATGAATCACTGCCCACAGACACCACACAGCTGCACCACCTGCCCTCAGAGGCAGGGTACAAGGCATATTACCTCACCCACACACTGCAGACAAAATCCATATATACTGCTTCTGCCACTTTGGTAAGACATCAGAAACTCGCCTCCAGACTCCTTGTCCTCAGTGCCATGCCTCAGAGGTATTCCAGTGTCTCAACACTTCTGCTTCCTCAAGGGAACCCCACTGCTGTTTTCATCAGCAGACCTGAGCAGGGTGGTGGCACTGATCTCCTGTGCTTGCACCAAGCAGCATCTCTCTGAGGTTGCACCAAGCATTTGGGGAGATGGGCACAGCCCCTGCCCCAGGGTTCAGCAGGACCTGGATCCTCACTATGGTTCCTCCTTGTTTTGTCACTCACAGGAGCTCAAAGGGGCATAAAAATCCATCAGCTCCTGGAGGAGGCACTTGGCACTCACTGCATGGTGGGGCCACCACCCAGTGCACACAGAGTTTGCATGCCCATGCCCCAGGAGATTCACACTGACAGAAAAGCCAACCCCAGCAGGGAAATGAGCAGATGGATAACCACCTGCTGAAGAGGAAAATGTTGAGACAACTGGGTGATATGGCAATTCATATCCTTTCTTTGATCCCAGCAGTGTCTTTGTACTGCATATAGAAAGCAAAGGGGAGAACAATAAAGCTTTATGCTAAGCCACTGAATTTCTCAAATTCACTTTCCTGCTCTGTAATGGGAACAGAGGATTGAACCCCAGCCTGCATTAATGAAAAAACAAACAAAAGCAGAACTTCATAAGTGATGAAAGTTGCATTTCCAGCCATTCATTTATTTGCTTTTGCCTCTTAAAAGCCTATCTATGCATTGCATAGGAGTCTGTTGGAAGCACCTCAGTAAAAGTCTTTAATCCATTTTTCTAAACCCTTATCATGATGAACAGCA